GGTAAAACCTGCTGGATGAATTCTTACTGAGGAAAACCAGGAAGAGGAAGGCGGGATGTAGACAGGGACCAGGGATCGATGATTAAAGGGCTTTCTCTGCAAAGAGGCATCCTCACCCATGCGGATGGCATCCTGTATCTTCTCGGACAAGTCTAGGCCCTTGCGTGGTGGCCAAAAGCCCTAGCATCGAGCAGGAGGTCCTGGGGAGGCTTCCCCTGACCTGACACGGGGGATTTAAGCCACCTTGCAATTTAAAGGGCTGGAAACCTTCAGATTCACCAGGTGCAACTGCCCTCGTACGCACCTCCAGCTTGCCAAAGGACAAGACGGATCCATGGGGAGATCAACTGAAGATGAACCCCTCGCGAAGACGGGCCGTCCACACGTGCTCAGGGTTGCGCACCAGAGGCCCCAGCCACAGCCACGCGTGTACGTGCGTGTCCCAGCAAAGTGCTTCCCAGCTGGATCGGCCCTGGGAGTACAAACTCATCGGGGCCAAAGACTGTTGGGGAGTCTGTCAGCTACCAGCCTCCAAACACGCTGGGGAGGAGAGCGGACCGGTCAGCATCCAGCTCCTTCACACTGCCAATTCTAAGCCCTTTGCAGGTTTCTGGAAACAATTATTTAAACCGCAGCGTTGGGTTTTATACAAGAACACATCTTCTTTTCAACGGTTCAAAAAAAAACTCACACTCATTGGCTTTCCACCACCCCACCAAAAAAGAAAATAAATCTTCTAGCAGCATTGACCGAAGTGTAAAGCAACCTGGTTGGCTTCCATGCATCCGATGGCCTCTTCCAAGAGTGAAAACTCCACGCAGACATAGCCATAGTCGTAACCTGGGAACAGCATTTAAATACAGACGGGAGTCGTGTTAGTGCCTTGTCATAAAGAAAGCCACATTTCAATATTCAATTCCCTTTCCCTCCAAAGACAACCCCTCTAACCACCTCCCCTCTACTCCAGAACGAAAAGCAGAGAAGCAGGGGCTATTTGGGCGATGATTAACTATGCAGTTTCATCAAGAATTTTAATAGCACAATGTTCCAACTTCCCATTACGCAACTCGGGGACAGGCACACCCTTCCTTAGCACGAGAAAGGGTTTCAGATTTTGTACGACCTTGGAGGCTGCTCTCCAAAGCACATGCTGTTAAGTCATTCAAAAGGATATTGCTGGGAAGGTGTTTTACACGAAGAGCCAGCGCTTGCACTCGTGTGACACTGCAGAAAGAACTAACGGGATTCCTTTGCTTTTGCTATTTTCCCTTCAACACCTCCTTACTTTTGAAGTTCAAGTTTCTCATGCTTTTAAAAAGTGCCAGAAAGCAGGTCCCTCCCTGCATGCGTGTGGCTCCAGCCCAGCCTTCCAGCCGGGCTCTGCTCGTGTGTGTGTGTGTGTGCAGGGCAGGGGTAAGTGTAGGGACACGACACCGGAGAGCCTCTGCTTTTCCCCCTCCTCAGAAAGCCCTTGCCCCAGGCCATAGCAGAAGGAGCCACTGATTGAACTCTGCATTCCAGTTACCTGTGCTGAAATGACTATGTCCCGCAGCAAAGTGCGGGGTGAACGTTACAAGGAATTAAGATCATCCTAAGAGCCAACCTCGACGGGGAAGAGAGCTCCAAGAACTAAAGCTCCGAGAAACGACCTGGAGCAGCAGCCTCACCCTGCACAAGCCACAGCCAACACGCTCCAAACAGCACTTTCCAGGTGCTCGAGGGCTGCCGCACTTCAACTCAGGCAAGCAGCGAGGGAAGAGCCCCGGTTCCCTCTCCCTGCTGCTCCTGTGCCCATTTAGGAGGGACAGAAAAGCCACTCTGCATTTGGATTCCACCAGTTCAGGTGGTCAGGGGAAGAGCTCATCGCCTCCTTCCTACGGATGCACATCTGGATGGGAGGCTGGTGTCCACCTTCCACCTGCGCCAGCCCAGCACGTTTTGCAGGAAATGAGTTACACCAAGGGCCCTTCGGAGAGGCACTGAGGTCTCCCCAAAGCTGTCCGCGCTCTCCACTGGGCCCAGTCCAAGGCGCATTTGCCGCATTCAACATTTTGTCCTGCTCTACGTCCTCACCACCTCTCACACTCGCTGCTTGAGGGACAAACCCACGCAAAACTGCATCATCGTGGAACCTCACGGGCAGTTTTTTTGCTCTTGGCACGCTGCCCTAACACCACAAACCTGACTTCCCCTGTCCATACGGGATCGTTGCCAATATAATGACATGAGAATTTATCACTCTGTGGGTTTCCCAGCTCGGGGAAAGACGCAGGCCAGCAACACAGACGCCGCTTTCTGCAAAACGTCTTCAAAAGCCACCGGTGCAGACGCTTTCCCACCGCTCGCAACGACACGTCACGCGGGGACAACGCGCCAAGGAAAACCAAGTCACTTGAGGCCGCTTCTTAAGGGGGGGGACAGCTACAGAGCCGCCTGCCACCAACTGCTGTGCCTCTTCCCTGCATCCTTTTTAGGAGCAGCAACTTGGAAGAGCAGCTGCCGAGCTTGGATATTTTTATTTCTGAAACCTTCAAAGGGTTTAAAGCAGCAGCCTGTGCAAACGCAGCAGCACGGGGGGTTCACATGGGCAGGGGGACAGGTACCTCCCGATGGCAGGAATGAGGACGATGCCACCAGGAGGGCACATCGGGGCTCTCCTAAGCCCCAATATGATGCAGGTGACAACGCCAACACCAAAGCGATCACGCCAGCAAAGCAGAACAGCTGCTGAAGATGACAGCAGGGTTCCTGACTCAGGCTGGCCTAACTCCATGTTTAACATTTCACGAGAAGATCATGCGATAAAAGCCCGTTATCTTCTTTCCCTGACCTCTCTTCCCCTGACTAGTGCAAAACCACTGCCTCGGGATCCACGGAAAAGTGGGATGGAGTCACACACGCTACCTGCTTTGCTAGAAGTATCTTCGCACAGATTTTCTATCAAAAAGATTAAAAAAAAAAATTCCCCCCTCCTCAGACTCTGAACATGCTCAAATACTAGTTCCAGATAAGCTTTCCAAAAGAGGGTACCAACTGGGCTCAAACACTTGAGCTCACCCAGTTTTTCATCCCAGCATATCCACATAGGTGGTGGAACAGCCACATTCCCATTCTGCCTGGGTTTTAGGACAGCCACATAAAAGGACTTGACGTGTTCCTTTCCATATGTCTCCATAGTCCTTTAGGGGTGATCCCAAAGCCTCTGCACCCAAGCTGCCATAACCATTGGATGCTTGCAGTAAGGACACGTTTGGAGCTCCAGGGAGTTGCTTTGGGACTGCAGAAGCGGCAGTGCTTTGCCTTTGAAACTGATGTATTTAGTGAAATAAATTCTGATTAACCAATTGAGTTGTTGTTAGCATGCCCTGGTTTGGCTAAAAAACTTGGAAGTCTGACTCAATACTGCCGTTCTCTCTGGAGACACCGTGGCAGAGCCGGCTCGGCCAGGGAACTCCGCTGCAGAGTTTCATCCTCTCTGCAGAGCAAAGCTCTGTTCCTTCCATGGTAACTACAGCGTCAAGGATGGAGGGACTATGAGGGAATTCCACATTTCCAGAAAGGATCTGCAATGGCACACGTTGCCCTCTGCAGAGCTGGAGCAGCATCAGAAAGTGCTGCCAGGCCCTTGGCGGAGGGCAGTTCTCGATCCCCCTCTGAGTCAAAGAGGGTCAACAGCAACTTGTCTGCACGGCCTCGGCCACCTCATCATGGTCCTGAAGGTCACCCGTCCTCTGAAGGGCCACTTCAAACCCCGTGAGCAAAGCAGACACTGATGGGACAGCCTTAGAGGCCCAGAGATACCCTGGAATCTGTTGATCCTACACTCAGGATAATAAATGGGTTGCCTAAAGTGTGGAAAGATCCAGACTAAGCCTGAGGGTATCAAAAGATGGAAGCACTGCTTTACTCACTGGTTGTGTCCCCGCTGGCCGGCCTCACTGCTAAAACATCTCCCCTTTCCTCAGAACAGCTATTTCCTGCTAGGAGGAGGAATCCGTGTGCGGTGCTCCCCGGCAAAGCGACGTGCGTGTCCCCCTCGCCCCGCTGGCTCTGGAAAGGGTGGGAAGCGCCTGCAGCTCCTCTAAAGAGAGGCAAGTGCTTCCCGCGAGCTGCCGGGGAAAGCCAGGGCTGAGCAAGGTTGCTGCTGCTCCCTGTCCCACGCGCCACCACCCTCTGCATTCCCATGGTGCCTTCACGCCAGAGCTGCCCAAGAGACGACTGCCTAAATCGCTTTAATGGCTTTTTTCCTGGTGAAAACACTGGAAAACGCAGATTTCTCCGCATCTCTGCACCGTTAGGGACACGCACAATATGCTCCCAAGAAGCCAGGAGCTCCTGAATGTGCAGAGCTGTGGGTACAAGTGGGGAAAATAAAGCTGTCCCCACAGCTGAGAAGCTTGGAGGGCTCTGCTGCAGCACCAGGGGGAGGGCGGCAATCGGCCCACACCAGCTCGCGAGCCAAAACCACGCGCTTAATACCAGCTGGGGGGTTCCGAGTTGCCATAATGTCTTTGACAGAACTCCTCGCTGCCCAAGTAACTCGGGCTTCAGAGCTATGAAAACCGAGTAGAGCTGGATGGGAAGCGCTCGCTGCTGAGGGCGAAACAGCAGAGTCTGCAGCAGGCTGTGCCGCCAACTCCTTCGAAGGCTGCGCAGAAACGAGGCGGTTCCTGAGAGCCCCCCGTGGAAAACGCACGCTCCAGCACGCTCGTGCTGCGGATGCTGCACGAGAGAGCGGCACCGAAACCAAAAAAATCTGGAAAGCGCCTTATAATCTGCAAGTTAAAATGCTCCCGTGCAGCCTGCCTCCTCCAGCCTGCTTCCTCCATCCAGGAGGAGAGCGCGGAAAGGATCTGAGCGAGGCGGCAGCTTTATTAGAGAGCAGCCCCTACATATATAGTACAGAACCTCTGGAATCTGAGGATGGCTGGGGCCACTGAAGAGGACTGGAAGCTGCTCCCGTGAGGAGAAGCTGCAGGCAGGAACCAGGGTTTGAAATGCTGCCAGTGCGACGCGGGCTCCGGGACGACTACACAGCCTGTCACTAAGGACTCAGAAAAGCAATTCATATCGGTAAACTGTGAAAAGCCTACCAATTTGGGGGACGAGATGCAAAAAAAGGTCGAGCACAGTGTGTAAGAGTCCTGGAGAGAAAGGCTGTGCGTGCTAAAAAGGTGGCGAGCCTGTTCTATGGCTCAGTGTCTGCTGCTGCCTTTTCTGCCGAACAGGTCATAGAACCCCACGCTGAGGCTTCTCAGGACAGCAAACATTAGCTTAAAAAGACTCTTCCCTTCCATTTCCTAAGCCAGCACCTCCCAGGGGAGCAGAGACATGCGCTAGTGCCTTTGGCTTGCAAGAGGCGATGCACCAAGGCCCTAAACCCAAGCAGGATGACACAAAAACCTGCTGCTGGGTATCATGGACCACGGTCTAAATGCAGCTGGAGGGCTATTTCTAGTCCTGGCCAAGCTACTTAGCTACAAACAAGATTCCCTTCTTGCCAGCCGGCACTGAGGGTATTTCCCTGGCTCCGGAAGGGTTCGGCTCTCCAGGCTGAGGACCTCTGCTGAGGAGCAGGCGATGCCTCCACGTGGAGGCTCCGGACGCGCTCCAGCACCTGGAAAACGGCCCGAGCTCTCCTGCCGAGCTCCGTGTGCTCACACACTGCCAACGCAGTCTTAGAAGGCTGCTCTTCTCGTGGGGCTTCCGTGCCCTCCTTGCTTGGTGAAGCGAGGCCAGGACCCAGCGTTATGTGGGTGCTGGCATCTCCTGGCAGTGCTGGGGACACCCTCCAGCCTGCCCTCGGTTCTCTCCTCCCCTCAACCCTGTGGCACTTAGTTCTTTCCCACATCCCTGTGCAGGATCCAAAAATTTCAGAAGGGCCAGGAGAGGAATTAACAGATTCAAATGTCCCAATTTCAGAACCACTGCACTAGCACGGAAGGTTTGTACAGTGCAGACCTCAGTGCTCCCTGCAATCCCAGCCCAGCTCACCACGTCCCTCCAGGTCGCCTCGGAGCATCCCTCTCTCCACGCTCCTCTCCGTCTCAGCCAGCACGTCTGCTCTCTGCTTGCTCCCCAAGATGTGTTTATAGGATAGGAAGAATCTTATGGGGATGAGCAACTCCCCATGAGCAACTTTCATTAGGCTCAGATTCCCTGAGGGGCTTTCCCCAATGGCTGATACTAACCCTACCATGATTCCTGGTTGGAAAACACTCCGTTCCACGCTGTCCCTTTGCAGGCCACATCCAGAAGAGTGATTTGAACAGCAGGCTCAGAGAGCACTTCAGAGCTGTGTTTATCCCTTGGCCACCACTGCAGCACCTCTTAAAGAAGAATGACTCCTGCCAGGCTGCCCTTTCACATCAAACCCGCTCACCACGCTCCGCTCTCCGGTGTACGGGCACAGCTGTGCAGGGTCCCGCGCACACCAGGCACACGGGATGGTTTGTAAGTCTTTCCTAACGAGTGTTAAACATGAGCAAAGTAGGTAGGAAATAAAGCACAAGGCGGGAAGCAGGAAAGGAGCTTAAAATATGATCAAGAGCAAAACCAGAGGCATGTTCCTGTGAGATTCCTTGAGGGTCAGGAGTTTCAGGTTTGTGGAAGAGGCAGCACCCACACAAGTGCACGGACAGGAACGTGACAATGGCCGGGGATGTGCCCCATGACACACCGAACTAAGGACCCACAGCCACACAGAAGCCTCCAAGGGCTGGACAGGTAGTAATTCCGAACGGGAGGGATGGGCAGAAGCTCACGAGTGCTTCCCAGCGCTGCGGATCAGCAGTTCGTCTGCGGGGACACCACAAGCTGCTTTTACAGGCTACAGAAAGGGAAGGGCCTTGAGAAAACCTGCACGTCTCACCACAGGACTTACCCTTCATAAGCATTAATTGAACAGACATCACCAAATACACTCGAAAAGGCAAGCTGGAAGATAAGCCATCAATTAAGCCTGCTTATTGCGTTAGAAGAAAGCCTTTTCCCACCACCAATTTAGTATCTTTAGTCTGAACATACAGGCATCACTTCAAAAACATCTGAGAACTCCGAGTATTGTGAGGTCTCTTCTGGGTATTTCACATTTTGGGACTGTTTGCAGATATCTGCCTTTCTATTTAGATAGAATCATTATGCCACTTCTCCGCGTCTCTCCCTCTCCTCCCTTTTATACAGCCCAGACCGTTTTAGTCTCCATGCCTCCGAGACCAAATAATGGCCAGCAGCAGCAGCTGGTATGCAAAGCAAAACCGCACCGTGTACACTAGGAAGAGCGATCCGTGCTCAGCACAGCCTCCCGTGCCAACACGCCTCCCTCGGCGCGTAAACAGCCTGCAGAAAGGCCCTCAGAAAAGCTGGGCTGCTTTTTTTTTCCCCAAAAAGTCAACTATATAATTTCCCCAAAACAAAGAGTCTCGAGAAAGACCATACAGTGGAATCATCATGTTGAAGCTGCTGAGATAAGCTTTACGGTAAGGGTTATCTTGCTGTGGAACTGATGTGAATCGCACTTATTTCAAGTTAATTGTATGTTGTTTTGGCTGTTTTCATTCTCCAACAGCTGCAGCCATTCTTCTCTCTAAAACACTCAACATGAAGTATATGCACAGTCATGATTAATGTTATTTTTAACATTTCTGGAGAGCACTCGAAAATACACAGCCCACTCGGGCGCAGCACGCACTCCCCGGAGTGGGGGCCACGGAACCGACACGGCAGCGCGGCGCGTGGGCCACCGCCTGCCAGGGACATCAGCAACCCCAAATCAAGTCTGCTGTCAATCCGCACGCCTGCCTACGGTCACAGCCCATCGTAACAGCTCGCAGCTGCCCGCTGGTTTCAAGCAGGCTTCACTTCTTCAGGAATTTTCTCGTTTCATCTGCTTTCCAGGTTGGCCTAACCTGAAAAGCTGGATTCAATTTACTACAGCTTCTAGTTACCCCATTTCAATACGAAGTTGTCACACTTCAGGAAGCTTTTGTTGGCCTAGATGGATCCATCTTGCATAACAAGGATCAAAACCTCCCCAAAGCTGTTTAAATTTGCAGCTGCATTAGCAGCCTCGGGATGCAATTAAAAATGAAGTCTTCAGAGTGTCTGTGTAACCTAGAATAACACTACGCTGCTGAGATGACTGGCAGGGCTCGGACAGGGTTAAACAACAGCTTTAAATAGCTCGTAAAAGACGAGCTAATTTTAAAGTTAATTCTTTCCCTCCCCACAAAAGCCAGAAGACGTTTTTTTAAAAAAGATCTCTGCTGCTGAGGACACGGACTGAAACAGAATGCAGCCTTTACCCTGGCACCAAAAAACCCGGGCCCTCATATTACGTGTGGGCATCAGCAGAAAGGAGGGTTTCCACCCACAACTTCACACACCACGTCCCATTCGAGCAGCCTTTGAAATAGGGAAGGAGGAGCCAAGAGTTCTCTAAAAAAGGGGGCAAGAAGTCCTAACAATGCACACAGGAAGAGGGTTTGCAACAGACTCCAAGTTCAAGTGATTTCTTACTGAAAGTGCCATATTTCAAGGGAAAAAAAGAAAAAAAAGCAAACAAACAAAACCCCAGACAAATGACATCAGCATGAGCAAAGACACAGGTATGTTGCAATCGGTGGGTTGTGCCCAGTTTTGCAGGGATGTCAACAGCTACGCTTAGAAAAGAGGGAAGAAAGCAAGCGAGGCCGACTGCATCCTTTAGGTCCTGTCTGCTGGGCCAAAGGGGATTATGTAACAACACCGTGTCGTCCTTCAGTTCAAAGGTTCATGAGAAGGTTGGGAAATCTCCTTTGACAGCTTCCAGAAACAAAAATATTTGCTGACCCAGTTGCCTCAGTTTCTCTCCTGAACTCCTGAAGGCAGAAGCAGCCTACAGGGGATGATCTGACACGACAAAATGCAGCTGTGCCACCCACAAACCATTACTGAGGAAAAAAACACTGACCAAGGTAGAAGCCTCTGCTGTCCTGGGTTCAAACTACGAAAAACACCCCAAAGTTTCCCCTTCTTTTACAAAGCGACAAAAATCCGCTTTGGAGTGGGAGCTATTCAGGACGAGCAGAGCAGGAGAGGTGGCTTCAGATGGTCCCTTCGTGCTTCCAGGCATCCCCTACCAGCGTGATCCAAACTGACAGCCCAGACTCATCCCTCCTTTCTTACTCCACACACTTTTGTGACAGTGGCACCACTGTCACACACAGCACCTTGGTAAAACAGTCCTCTCTCCAGACTCCTACATAGTGATCGCAAGCAGAACAAACCTTCATTTGTTGAAAGGAGGAAGAGCATCCTGAGCGGGTATTTGGATATCTATTCATAAAACTTGCTTTTTCATATTTGCTTTAACCTGTCTTAGGTATTAAGAGGGATAACAGTTTCACATTACTGAAGGGGAAATATTGGGCTATAGCGGGTGTCATGAGAACATAAACTCAGAGATTTGTTCCACAGGAAGATGATGGAAAGAAGATGGAAAACAATCCAAAAAGATCTGATTAAAAATATATACATATATATACATACACACATATATATACATATATATAGGCAGAATTAACCCAATGCCCCATGTCAATATTAGTTTTATTCTCGATGGCTGTGAAGCAGCCTTGCTGTTTTCCTGCTGTTCCCAGGTCTAGCTAAAGGTACGGAGACAGGTGCTTTTCCTCTGAAGCACCAGTGACCACAGCCACCAATTTTGATGACAAGAAGGACAAATTACAGAACGCAGCGGCCTTCTGCATTCCAAGATACCTGTACTTATGGCATCAAGGAGTTTAACCTAACTGCCTAAATTAGAAGAAAAAGCCCTTTAAAAAAAATAAATAGATAAATAAAACTGGAAGCACTGGAAAAAAATACACGTATTCTCACCTGAACTGTAATCTTTGAGTCGCAAGTCTTTCACAGGCGTCCCATCAGGCCCACGGAAAGCATTGAGAATCTGCAGGAAAACCAAAAATCCTCTTCAGTCTCCAAAGCAAAACCTTGGAAAGCAAGGCACTTGCTAACATGCAGTACTCTTTTTCCAAGATGTCTGTTGTTTCTGGCTTAACGCTGTTGCAAACCAAAATATTTTCCTGACATTGTTGCCCCAGTACTGAGAACTGTTAATCAATCTTTTTTGAGAGTATTTTTTTGTTTGTTTAAATAAATGAGCACCATTTATACCGGAATTCACCCATTCACAAGGTCATCGTGCTGGTGTTCATCAGAGATCTCACTCATGATCTTTATTTAAGGTCAGAGAGGCCTTACTGCGTTTAAAAAAATGATGGAACATAAGGTGACTGAGTCTCATCATCCTCTGATGTACAAAGCTTCTGCCATGAGTTCCCCAGAACCCAGATTTCACCATTAAGCCTCTGATCACTCAGATTGCTGTGCATCACCCAAATTGCTGTTCTCATGTCTGGAACAGCCACAGAAAACAATTTAACTCGAAATGGGAGCTTTTGGAGAGGTCTCTTCCTTCATCTTGTAGAGAAAAACCTAAATTTTTCGATAAAATCAGTAGTAACAGAGATATCTCCATCCTTACAAGAACCATTTATGCAGATTTAAGGTATCTAACAAGGAATAGTGTACTTGGACGATAAACGTCCTCCTGGCTCAAAATATATGCCCCAAGTAATAACAATTTTACTTATACTATCAAGCAATCCTAAAAGTGAGGCATGTTAAAAAGAGTCTGGTAATTGAGGCTTTTGCCCACCAACACCCTACATGTGACAGCAGAAAAGCCCATCACTGCTAGACTCCCAGAAAAGCAGAATAAACAGATAAAAACAACAGATTACGTGAACTTCAATCTCTGGGCTCAAAAACAGTAAGTTTAGAAATGCTTTTGATAGAGGTTTTGGTAACTCTAACAGATTTCGGACCAAAAAAAAAGGAAAGAAAAATCCCCCTTACATCATCCTTTGTGGCAGTCTCAGGCACTCCTCCGAGCCGAATGAGCTTGCTTGGCTTCACGTACTTGGGGCAGGTCCGGTAATCTTGGTCCTTGAGTTCACAGATGAATGAGACATGCGATCTCAGAGTCAAGCCATAATAAATAAAACACGGCATAATTCAAGGGCCAGGGTCAATAAGCACAACAGCCTGAAGGCTCTCAGGGTATCTGGCTACCAGCTACACAACTTGGGTTAACTCACGAGTGCCAAGAGGCTGCTCTTGCCCTGGGTCATGGAGATCTCCCAGGCTTTTAGAGCAAGACAATCAAACAGGCCTTGCAGAACTGGAAGATTCAAATTCATTGGAGTTTATTAATTTAGCAGTTACCAGCTTCAGTTTTTGAAGTTAAACAACACAGGAGAGATAAAGCACATATGGGAACAGCGATACTGCTCTGTGTGGCTCCATCTAACTCAGTATCTCATTTCCAGTAGCCCAACACAGCCTATAAACAGATACCCAGAGAAGAAAAGAAGAACAGAATAAGTTCTTCTCCATGTACTTCCTCCACGACATCCTCCCTTTGTCCAGACATTTGAAACTCGGGGACTTCCTAAACCAAAGGTACTTCTATGCGTTTAGCAATCCTCAATTGCTAAATTGCATTTTCGAAAGAGAGTATTTCTGAGAGGGAAGGAGGGCACACTAAAAAGACCTGGAGCATGAGGATGAGCTCAGAGAACGACAGTGATTTAGGAGAAAATTCGAGAGATGAAATATGAATAGAAGACTCCTTCCTTCCCAGCTCCTTCCATTCTTTTTTCCCCCCCAAACACAGGTTTAACAGAAACAGGGACTCACAAAGGCACCTACCTGAAGGCTCTTACAGAGCCTAGAATCTTTGCTGGGTTTTCCTTCTGAGAAGGACTTGCCATGTTCATAATCAAACATCTGCTGTCCCGGCAGCCGGTGATCCACATCGCGATACTCGATGTTTCGGTAGTCCGTGTCTTGCCTTCCAAGGAAATCGAGGTCACCTTCGCCCTTTAACCCAAGATCAGAATCGGATCTTTGCTGCTCCCCCCCAGAAAGCTGCTGCTGCTGCTTGTTAGCAAAGCTCTGAGGCTGCTGCTCCTCTTGGTCCTGAAGAGTAGGACGAGGCCCACGGCTATTTTGGAAATTGTGTGAAGCGTCGTCTTCAAGACCCATTCCAAGGGATTCCTCTTCTCTGGCTGGTGTCTCCGAATGTTGAAATTCTCCTTTTTGGCTACCAAAGGGAGCTCTATCTAGACAAAGCGCAGGGTCCTCTCTCTTGCTGGTGCTTAAACCAGAGCCCTCTCTTTCCGCTAAAGGTAGAGCGGGTTGGTTGCGCCTAAAGTCTACAAGGTTTTGATCCACAGGAGGCATTTCCCTATCTGAAAAGTCCATAGGAGGAGGCACATCTCTGCTCCTAAAATCCTGATCGGATCGGGATCTGCTCCTATTTCTGAAGTCTGATGATGGTGCGTTTCTGTTTCTGAAGTCCAAATCAGAGGAACCCACACCCCTAAAGTCCAAATCAGGTACGTCCCTATTTCTGAAGTCTGAGTAAGGGGGCTCTCTGCCCCTGTAGTCTAACTCGGACACATCTCTGGCCCTGAAGTCTGAGTGAGAACCATCTCGGCCTCTGAAGTCCAGATCAAAAGACCCTCTTCCCCTGAAGTCTGATGGAGGCTCATCCCTGCCCCTGTAATCCATGTTATGCACTTCCCTATCCCTGTAGTTCACGCGGAACGTCTCCCTGTTCCTATAGTCCACTGAAGGGACATCCCCACCCCTGAAGTCCATGGGGGGCCCTTCCCTTTCCCGGTAGTCTCCAGAGTACATATCCCTGCCCCTGAACTCGGACGAGGGTGGCTCCCTACCTCTGAAATCCAACTGCGAATCCTCTCTGCTCTGGAAGTCAGGAGGTGGGTAATCTCTGCTCCTGAAATCACGGGGCCCCTCCCCACCTCTGTAGTCACTACGTGGTCCATCTCTAGCTCCAAAGCTGAAAGAAGGTTCCTCTCTGTTGGCAAACTGAGGATTGAGGAGGCCTGCGAGTGCCTGGATATCAAAAGGAAGTGATTCTCTGCCAGAGAAGTTGCCAGAGTGTCTTTCTTGAGCAAGACTATCAAGGGAAGGAGGATATTCCCTGTTCCACCCGGGAGCAAACCTTTCTTCTTGGCTCCCACTGTAGAAATAAAGACAGTATTATTCATAACGTGCTTAGAGTCTGCAATCTACACAGCAGCACAATCTTCTCTAAACTTTTATAGAGTTGTGTAACAGTCTAAGATCCGCAGAAGATATTGATGTTTGGCAGTTTAAGATGAGGCAGCATACGACAGATGTGAGAAAGTAAACTTGGGTGCTCCCATTTCAGCACAATTTCCAGAAGCACTCAACAGGGAATACCTGCAATATTAATGGGTTAATGATGGTAGCAATCCACATAGTCCTGCACTGCGCACAGCTCTGCAGCTGCTCACGGTTCCACCGACTGGTGTTTTGGGTTGTTATCCCCACCAGCACAAGCCTGTAAGGAACCACTTGAGTTCAAGTTCTCTGGGTGCTATCACAGACTTAGCCCATCGCCATGGAGCAAAGGAAACCACACGTGCTCTATCAACACACTACACAGGTTCATACGTATTCCCTGGCGCTGGAATCGAGACCTTCAAGGTCTAGATTTAGAGAACCATCGCTTCTGACTTTGGGGATGCCTGGCAGGAATGTGTCAACCACCCGAGTTCAAGAGGAGCCTCTGCTTGTGCCTGCAGCCTGGCTGCCCACACAGAGGTTACGCTCAGTGCGCATTCAAGTACGAGATCCCATGAGCTCTGCACAGCAAAACTTCAGAGGCTTCTTCCTGGGATAGTTTCTCAGAACCCAGTGAATTATTTTGGAGATGGAGCTACCCGACTTTGCAGCTGAATGCGACTCCGATAAATTTGTTAAAAAAAAAAAAAATCATGGAATAATATCAACACCTTTCAAAATAAGCCTAAAATCAACTCTAGCCAGTAAGTGTTTTGTTAGCAACTACAGCGAGCCAAGTTCTTGAGTTTCTCCACACAGACTGCTCACCCGCAAAATGCAAGGTGACATTTGCAATGCTAATCAAACTGCCTCCAGATTTATTGCCCTGAAATGCCCCTATTTCTGCACTATAAAAAAATAGCGATTAAAACCTAGTTCAAGGTTAGGAGTGCCCACGCAGCACAGTAAAAGAATGATGCCAGGAAAACAAATTTAAGCAATAGCAGAGCAGCGTTACTGATATCACAAATGGGGATCATTTTCATCAGTACTGTTGAGACAGATTCTAGAGGCTACTGGCTTTTCTAATGCAATTGTCATCAGGAAAATGTTGTGTGTGTGTGTATATATATATACAAATATATACACATATATATATATGTTGGATATAAGTCTTTAGAACAGTTCCAGTGACGCTCACAAATGTCTTTTGAAGTAACCCAGCCAAGAACATTGGGGCCTGATGGTCTAACTCTCCATTAAATCTGAATAAAAGCAATCATCGTGGGTGGAGAGAATCAACATTCGAGTATTAGGCACTTCTTGCAGGTCTTAACAGCACCCAAACCATAAGCTGGGGCATGGCAACACCTTGGCTTGTAACAGCCAAACTAAGTAACCCTAGAAAAGGGGTGAGGAAAAGGAAGAGAAACACTGTAAGCAGCTAAAAATGAAACAAAGAAAAGAACAGCCCGCCCAGAGGAAGATGTGCAGATATATTAAGAGACATTTCCTGTTGCTTATTGTGTTTAAGAACGTTACTGAAGCAAAGTCTCCACTCATGCTTACCGATATGACCCCATTCTGTTGCCTTGCCGATGGTCTCCCCACATTTTTCTTCTTTCTGGTAGGCTTCCAGAAATTGAGAATTCACACTACGAACACCAAGACAGCAAAATCTGTTGAATAAACACCCAGAAAAATAAGCCAAGAAAAATACATCCCATAAGAAAAGCACCAATAATTGGGAAAAAGAGTATGGGGTACATCCAAGCTGCACAAACACACACCACAACATTCGGGTCTGAGCACGGAGAAAGGAAACAGTTAAAGCTGTGCCAATCTGTAAGCGACAAGCAGCTTCTGAAATGAAACTGTCAGCATGGGTGGGCAAACAATTCCCTGTTTGCTTTTGATTAACGTGGAGCTTTCCAACACACGGCGCCGTCTACCGCTGTCTGCAGCCCGACTCGAAAGGCGAGAACGCCGCGACGCACAAACGAGGACTGTCCCCCAACAACAGTTGGTGATTAATGCTTAACCCAAACTGTTTCTTTTTTGCCAAAAGCTCTTTGCTGTTTAAGGAAACTATCAGCATTATGGGTCTATTACGCTTACTTTGCCCTCAAAGAGTAGCTAGATAACAGGGTACATTCTGCCAATAAATCACGACGGTGACTGTTCTCCTTGCTCGAGTTGAGCAGTGCTGCTAACACGAGCATCAGTGGAGAATACAGAATTTCTGGAATTTCTCCCACCTCCTCTCCCCAAGGGAGAAGGTAAGGACTTCCTGGCCACTGGAGCTTGGGTGGGAAGTGCTCCTGTCTTCCTCAGGAAAATGGCTGCAGCAAAGTGTAAAACAAAATGATGGAGCCAGAGACTGCTCATCTCAGAAACGGAATTTAATGTCCCATATTAGTCCATGGACAACAATATCCACTGCAGCTCTGCTCCGAGAGAACAACAGCAGATTTATCCCAAGGACAGTGATGGAGGAGAAGACTATTAGTGACTAGCGATGACATAAGGGGTCACCTCACACTTCTGAGTCAGTCAGGACTCCCAAAACACCAACCCACTCCTGTCCCGATGCCATCCAGCACACTGGCCCCTACCCACACGTTCAGGGAGCTCCTGTCGTCACTCGAGAAGTGACCTAAACCCCTTGGGGACCAAATCCCAGCCCGTGCGCCCACGGGCAGCCACCGCCTGCAGAAGCCAACAGCCTTGCGCTACTGCAAGACCCAGAACTCCACGTTTGACACGCGGACACCATGTGCCTCAACAGGCAACGCGACAGCCTGTCCTCCCAAGGCAGCGCTGCAAGCAGGTCGGCGGGCAGCCGACGTGCCAGGGAGCCCGGGCACTCGCTGGGGGGCAAACGCAGGCAGCCCCGGGCAGCCCGTTCCTCACAACGGGGTTTCCTAAAGCAGCAGGTTCCTACACCTGCACAGACGGCTGCTCCCTGGCTATTCCCACAGCACCCACACCCCCTGTGAACTCTCCTCACACATCGGGCAAGCCCAATCCGCAGTTTTCGCCAAATGGAGCCGGAGCAGCAAATATCCGCCTGTCTCCAGGGCTTTTCTCCATATGCCCAGTGTTTTTTAATTCCCGTTCATAGATATGGATCTAGGAACTAAAACAGCCACCCGGCGGGCACCATGCAAGCGGCAGAGCCACGGGCTGCCCCTGTCACCTCCAAACCTGCTGCTCCGTGTTCTTCCCTTTGGCATTTCCTCCCCCGCTCCGCTTTGCACCAAGCCAAGCGGCTCCTCTTCAGGAAGACCCCGTAACCCCCGCCAGCCCGGAGCCCCGGGACGCAATGCCCAGCTCTGAGGCGGCGGCGGGGGGCCCGGGCCCGGCGCAGAGCGGCCGGG